AGCCCGGATCCCGCGGGGAGCGGAGCGCGGCCTCCGCCGGCACAGACGGGCGCCGCCGCTCCTGCAGCCTAGCGGGGTTTGCTAAGCTAATGCGTCGCCGCTTCCGTTTGGCTCCCTGCTAAGTGGGCTCGTTTCTTTCTCGGCAGCTCCTAACACGCGGGGAAGCAGCCTCCGCTGGAGCCAACATCAACCGCGGCTGCTCGGACCCCGACACGCGGGACCCGAGCCGGGCGTCGCTCCGCGTGAGCAGGGCCCCTTCTCGGTGCATAAATAAATTAAAGTATTAACACTTCTTACAAAAAGCGGCTTATATTTCCCTCTCGCGGCGGGGCGGGGCGCGGGCGCGGCGCCACGCATGGAGTGAGCGCGGCGGTGGGCCCGCCCGCGGCTACAGAGCAAGGAGGAGCCGTCGCCCGAGTGGAAACCTCGGGAAATGAACGCGGCGACTTTAGGCAGGCACCTGGCAATGTCCGTCCCTTCGTTTTTCCCCCCGGCCCGTCCGGGGGAAAGAAACCCTGTCTGTCCAGCAGAGGCGAGGTCCTGCCTGCCTCCGCCCGAGGAGCGGGAGCCAGGCGCCTCCGCCGAGTTCGTGCCCGCGCTGCGCGTCCGGGCGCCCGCCGCGGGGTCGCCAGCTCAAGTCCATCCCCCGGGGCTGCCGAGCGCGGGGACAGCGGCGATCTCTCTCGCTCAGCTCGTGCTGCCTCCGGGGAGCCCCTGGTCCGAGTCCGTCCCCGACAGGTCCAGGACTGCAGCGGCGGAGAGGAGCGCTCCAGCCCCGCTCGTCTTCCCGGTCCCCGCCTGGCTGCGGCCGACCAGGAGCTGGCGGCAGGGACCCCCCCGGGCCGGGAGCAGGGGGCATTCCCGCCGCGGGAGCCGGCCGGGCCCCGCTCGTGGGCTCGAGTTCATGCAGGGAGAAGTGGGGGCGGCTCTGCGCGTCCCGCCGCCCCCACGAGGTCCTTACACTAGGGAGGTGACGGGCGGGATCTTGGCGCTGTCCTCTTCCCAGGGCTGCAGGTTCTGGAGTGCAAAGAGCGAGGAGTTGTGCAGGCAGAGCGGGTCGGGCTGGATGGACTCGTTCAGGGACTTCTGGAAGGCGTCGTGCTGGAGCTGCAGCATGAGCCGGCTCGCCTGCTGCCGCTCCGCTTCCCGCTCCTCCGCCGTCTGCCTCCTAAACACACACGGCAGGGTCAGCCCGGCTCCCGCCGCGGGCCCAGCGCCCCGGCCCGGCCCCTCCTGCCCCGCGCCCCGTCATGCGGACACGCCCCTG